ATTCGAGTGCCTCACATTTCAGGTCAGTGCCCCACAGAATAGCAAAAATACTTCGCAGATGTATTTTTAGCAAAATCATAAATCGTCGTCTGTCTTTGCTTGGCTCTCCATTGGAAATCAACAAACGCGCTGTTTAAATCAATGGTACACTCCAATAATCGACCCGAACACCGAGCATTAGCCAAGGCAAAGAGCTTCAATTGATCCAATAACTTCTGCGCCTCTCGGATTGAGATAACTTCCGGCGCATTCACTGCGTTACATTCGTCGTCTTCTTTGCGATGCTTAGCTTGATGCGAAACGAATTCATCCAATGACTAAAAGGAGACTTGATACAAAAATTTTCCTCATCATATTCCAAACAGGCTATTTTCCAAACAGGCTATTTCTTCTTCAAAAAGGTGGTCATCAATAGACACATAATGTGTAGAGTCCCCGATCAGATCGCATTTATCCTCTGGTGGCTGCTTCACCGGCTGAATCAATGTGGATTTGAACCCTGCTTTCATGAAAGCGATGATCAGTACGTCTGGGTGCACAGATACCCAAGCTTTCTTGACCAGATGCATGGCCATGAGAATGTCCACCTCGGTTCTTGCTCATCTTCGATCAAAGAGAAAACATATTCCAGTAAATGTTTCCGAAACAAACAATTGAAAGACCAAATCACGCCCTGATCCATTGGTTGTAACATCGAAGAACAGTTTGGAGGCAGCCGTACCAATTTGACATTGGAAAATACTGCGGCTTGGTTATGGCAAATAGATAGATCGTCTTTGAGAAACCATTTTTCGGTTGACATCGGACAGCCAACTGTGAAATAACGTCAAAGTCATCCAAGCGCTCCTTGAATAATTATGACTGCATGGAAGGCTTTTTTCTATCTACACCTCGGAGGCATCGTGGAGTTTGAAACTTTCCAATCACCAACGTTGATAACTTTTCTCCAGTCATGCTCCCACAAAGCAGTAACGTGACTCTCTCTTTGGATTTCTTCGACTCAGAAACTGTCTTTCCTTTCAGACTCAATGTTCTTTCTGGGAGCTGCCTGTAATACAAAGCTGTTTCATCTACATTGAAAATATCACAGTCAGCATATCCTTGTATCAACTGCGGTAACCCCGCTCGAAACTCATCCACTGCATCACGTGGTACCGCTAAACTTTCCCCACAGACCTATAAATTAATGCATATGAGTTGCTTGTTTCTTACTTTGTACGATTGAATACCATGTCTGTCTGACCAAGGGCGATAGGCGCTTGCACATTTTGACGTCAAATGACACTGTCTCCGATCGCTTGCATCGGTGTGACTTGCTCGCTGGAATTATCCAATCAGTGAACAGTGCCATGGACGCGTCACACTAGGTGCAACGCCATTGGTTGAGTGCGACATTTCAGGGTGGATGGTCAATGGTCGTCCCGACCATTGGTCAACGACCAAGTGAGTACGTATCAGGAACTGCGACATATTGGGGGGTGCGACATCGCATAGTCAGAAACTACGTTATTAGGCATAAGATTGATTTGGGTTTTCGAAAAAGTGGGAAGATATTGGAAAATGCGACTTCTCAAGGGTGCGACATAGCAGGAGATTGACTGTAACTAGTTAGTTGGTCACAGAAAACGGAAGGGTTGGGATCGGAAAACAAAATAAGGTCGGAGTTTCTGATCATTTCCCTTAACATCATGAGGTTTTCTGGAGGACGCTGTCTTACTTGAAGTTTGTGATCACGACTACGAGTAAAGAGACGTTGGTTCGTTCTGCTAAAGACGACAGGGGAAAACTTCAACATAGAATGATCAGACATTCCCAGTGGGGGACGAGGTTCTACAAGAAGTAAATTGGGATGGTTAATAAAACCCACATCCAGATGCGCGTCAAGCCTGGTGGGAAAGGCAACAATGTTTTGAAGACCTAAGGTGGTTAAGAAACGGGTATCGAAATTATTGAAGTCCCCACAAATGATACAGATAGAAGTATCTACGAATTCAATCAGTGTAGTTGAAAGAGAATCATAGAAATCATTAAGAACATGGGATGAGCAAGAGGGGGGCTATGTATACATTTACAAGAATAAGTGACCGAGAAAAACTTAAATTTCTGGGCTTACATTGAATTGCCGATGCGTTTATATAACGCGTGGAATAAGTAAACACATTTTTGGTCAGATGGCACCACTGATTTTTGACATACATGATAACGCCACCTCCCCGTCGGGAATAAGAAACAGGACGATCGACGCGATAGCTAGCGAATCCATTCAGGTGAATTATTTCATCTCTCTAGCTAAGGCGGCTTGTTGATCAATTTCATAGAGCGTGCGGACATTGAATGTGGCTAAGTGGAAGGGAGATTTTGGTCTCAAAAATCTAATAGCCTCTGAGTGGTTGGCCTCATTAGTTGAACACTGAGTGGTATCCGATGGGTGGCGCAAACAGGATGCATCTCTTAAGGTATGGGAGTGAGAAGAGGAAACACAGTTGAGGAAGACGGTTCTTCAAATGGGTGCCTAAGACTTTTGGGCACGGCATACTTCGCAGTTGCCCACACCGACGAAGAGGTTTTTCTTTGGGAACCGTAACCGCAGCCTTCGACTCGAAAGTCTGACCCACAAGACAATGGGGCGTAAATCCAACGCGGGAGCGTGAACGAAGCACCCGTGTGGGCGCTTCTAGAGGTGTGTCACGCAGGGCCTTTGAATTTCGATTAAGTTTGTTGTTTGCTTATGCGTTGGATGTCCGTCCGCTTTTCGAGATCGGCCCTTAGCCTCATACACCCAGTGAAACAAGCGGAACGTGGACGGGACAGCACCTTATTGATTGGGGGCTGCTCAGCTTGAGTGGGTGATTGCTGTCCAGTGAAGTGCGAAGACTTCTCCCACCGTCGCGAGGAAGCCTCAGGTACCCTGCTCCTACGTCCATCTAACGGCGGTTTTTGACCGGTAAACTGCCCCTCACCGTGTTTATTTACTGGAGTAACCTCTCCAGAGGCGTGTGAATAGAAAAGAAAGCCAGGAGATGCCCAAGCAGCTGGCCTTGTGAGACTGATCTTCGTCTGGCCGCTACCCCTTGACCTTTCAGGCGTGATTGAATCTGCAGCTGAGGAGCCATCCTGTATAGCTCGGAGGGTCATTGAGGCGCGCAAACCATCACACCACGCCAAGGTGCAGTTTCGTCGTGATGGGACGAAACGGATAACTCGTTTCATTTTCAGACCACAGCACGAGTAGTGATGTCACCTCGCCCGATGACGGACTGTCTACCTGCATGTTACCTCATTCAACCAGCAAAGGGAAATGCGATCTGTAGTTGCAATCATGCTCATTACTGACCTTATCACACCAAGCTCTAAGAATACTTTGATTCTCTCCTTTGGTCATCCATGTCAGAGAGATCCTTCGTGGGTAAGAGTTTACAACAGACCTGTAAGACAAAAGGAACGAAACTCCGTGAGCACAAAAGGTTCACTGAGATAAAAACACGCTCAAATCCTATTTGCTCGGGTTGTCAAGCGTCATGTAGCGTTATTCTCTGCGGTACCATCCAAAATGCATTCTTACGTTCAAACGAAATATGAGGATGTGACTACTTCACATGCAGTGTCGGTTCGAAGTTAGTCGCATTCCATCAGAAAAAACTATGCAAACTATACTATCTGACAGCCTAAAAATGTGCTCCAAATTCCCAAAATACAACGAAATGTAATTAGATGATTTGGTTTCCGTGAGCGGTACTCAGGTAACCTTTATTCATCTTCAGTATGTCATCTCTCTGGTTATATCCGCCCTCTGTATCACGCAGAAGAGTACAACGGCAGGATTTTCGGTATCTTTGGGGAACCGTTTGGTAGCCTTATCATCCCTAAAACAGGATTGACACAGTCGGTCATGAAAGACCCTAGATCAGTAGTCAAACAGTTCAATGGTCTGTTCGCATCTACTTTCGCTACAATATTGAATCCACTCCGGGATGCCTTGTCCCTTATTGAATATCGTGAAAATCAGCTACTAGTCATGAACGCATCAAAGGTACCATTCACATTTTATGAGTAGTAGCTCATAGCTCATTGACGCAGCTCCATCAAAAGATGCGCCTCGATCGGTCTGTGCATCGGTGTCTCTGGGCGAAAAAATTGGGATCATTTTATGTGGAATGAGGAAGCTAGTTCGCAATATTGTCCTGGAGATTCTAGGTTGGTCCACGTTGTAGCAGTGATTTCACTTTATCCACCATTTCAGGTATTTCGAATCAACCGTAACTAGCAACATCGTAACAGATCTGCCACTTGGCAGTTTCAGTAAATTCATTTCACTGGGGAGATCTAACTAGTCGTTTTGGGCGTTTTGTGACAGGAACCCACACCGCTCTCCCTCTTCCCCACTTATGTACGTCACCAGGCAGCATTAAGTTGGCTGTATCTTGCTTCCTTAAGGCCGATTATACTATTACGCACTCGACAAATAATAAGTTAAGTCCTTATTAAAACTATGGCTTGGTTAACTAAAGCCACATTGTCAAGAGAATGAATATTTAGTACCGTTTGAACAGACACTCGCGGTAATCTGTCTGAATTCAGCTCTTGCACATCCACCGGGTGTGTCAGTAGATTCTAGTTCAAACAGTTTTTGTCCTTTAGGAGCTCATTAAGCTGGCAAAACTACCACATGAGTCGTGGGGGGCATCCCTTCGCAGACCGCGCTTCTGCGGCTCCTTTCCCTTGCAAGTGATTAGGGAAACGTCAGTTATTTAATCATTCATGTGCTTCTTTCATTCGGGTTAAGTTAATCTGATCAATGACTGCTTATCTCCTTCAATCAACGTGATTCACCCTTCCTGGTACATTATCAAACTTGAAAATTCTGGAAACAGGACTTCATTATTTTTAACCATTGGAATGAGATGCTGTATTCGGAAGTTGCTCATATTGTATGATATCTTCGCTGTTCATTTACTTCCTATTGTTGTTTATTCAAACAGGACTGATCGCGTCACTGCCCTCCGAGCCGTTTCTCATAGGACCTTTCCGATCATCGTCTCAACAATTGCCCTCTGAGCGGGTTGATTCATCCATCCAGTTGGGTAGTCGACTTCCTCGATTGGCCATCCAGTTGCTCTCCGCTCCACTGGCGGGTATTGCTGCAGCCACAATTGTGAATCCAATTGATTGTGTTAGGGTGCGAATGCAGGTTTGTTCAGTCTTTGCTTAGCTTTTTCAGTGCTCAAATTTGCCACTTTTTCGTTGTCTTCTCACTGTGTCATCCAAAACCTCGAGCACTTAGCGGTGGCGATTCAGTGTCCCTAGCGGATGTCTTCTGCATGCATCGGTGCCATCAGTTCGATGTTTGTGGTCAGATAGCTATATTCCAAAAGACCCAAGTCCAAATCCCAGTGAATACTGCCACTACAATCATTAGTCAAAAATTATTGATCACAACTATCGATTGACGTAAAGTTATTTCATACAAATCACTACATTGATTGTGTAGGCATTCCCAGTAGGTTCGTTTGGTCGTAGGTACATTGTCAGTAGTTTGCTCATACCAAAGGAGATGAGTTTCTCAATGACTCACTACTTGAGCCTTCAGTTATTCAAGGGGTGACTTGCGTGACGGTGTATTAAGATTGTGATCCATTGGAGACCGTTTAATACGGCCGGTCCATGATGCTCAGCGCCCTCCATCACTCACTCTGAAGTGACAACCCAGCACACACGCCTCTCCTAGATTAGTTGATCCTCGCTCATCAACGTAATTGAAGCTACCAGTACAGCATATTGTTTAGCACAGTATCGCTCACAACTAAGTCCACACATCCAGACACCGGGTGGAGAATACACAGATGTATATTCGGCACGCTAACACAGCAAAACAAGCAGAACGCTGTCATTCGGCGTGTGTTATGATACAAAGTACGGCGCACGCATTAGTGACAAGTAAAGCAAGGGAGAGCATAATTGAGCGATCAACACAACCAGCTGGCCTTAAACCCGCAATCATAACACAACATTATGCCCACGACTGGTACTATAAGGCTGTTTCCCAACTACGCAAATGAGAAGCAGCCCTATGTGTAACAGGCACCTAAGATTAGTCGAGTTTACATGAAGTGTTCTTTCACATATGTATACTCTCTTTATTCCGGAACCTTGATGGAGAAAATGAGAGTGCTTACAGAATAAACCAATGAGCAATCAGAAGTGTGACTATGTGATTTGATGTAAAATTTGTTGCTTATGGACTCACAAGTAAGTGAACCAAGATGTAAAATTGGAATACAGCCCATTGGGTTCCACGAAGACTTACTGAAAGCTGTAAGGAAGACCCGATTTGTTGGTGGCTTTCGGTTAGAGAGTCAACTACTTCCATTTGTTGCTTTTGCTCCTCAAATCTGACCGGTTGATTATCACTTGAAAATGTCTGAAAATTTTCGACTCACTTACTCTGGCTAGCTCCGGTCTCATCTGATTGACACAGCGGTAGTATGCCTTCCATTACGTTTGAATCCGGACCGTTGGATACGTTCTAACCAGAGCTGACCTTGGGCTAAATGCTTCCCGAGTGCGTGGTTGATTGGACATCTGAGGATTCTGCACTAAAATGAATTTTGAGTGGTGTTTAGCAAAAAAGTAACAACCCATGTACCGCTGCTAACAAGTAAATGTTAAAAACAGTTTGAAACGCTGGAGAAATTGATGATTTTTAATAGAACTAGCGTTTCACCCAACAGGTTACAGTCTTCTCATCCTTGTGTTTCAGTGGAAACATTCTGGATTCAAGGAAGCCGCGAGTTTGTCTTTCCAATCATGGGTCGTAAAAGCAGACCAGTTTGATATCTTTCCAAAGCAGTGACGGGGCGAACTGATGCATTTACCAAAAAAGATCCGCCTCCAACTATACTTGGGTTCACTTGGATAATAGTTAATCCTGCTATCGCTTAGTTTATTACCAAATGCATTCTGCTAGAGACACTGTGTGGGTTAGTTTTTGAATGCCTAGGTCCCCACAATGGGTCCTTAGGAATACAAGATCTGTTTTACTATCTTAACTTCGTATATGGTAAGCAAAATAGCTGTTGAGTTATGATTGACGCCCAAATAAACACACACGAGCAACCGGAAATTGATTCACATCACCAACCAGGTACTCGCCGCTTCTCTCGCATTCTACTGTATTGTTCATCTATGCGCGCGGTTTCTGTAAGATTGCATGCTTGGATGTTTTGGTTCACCACAATTGTGTTCTGTGAAACCGGGTGTGTTCCGGTTGTCAGTTTCGTCTCCATACAGTGCATGTGGGGGGGGGGGGGGGGGGGGGNGGAGGGGAATACTTTCTACAGCTATATGTAAGCCGACTTTTTCCGTCGCGTCCCAACTGATAAGTGTTTGATATGATCGCATGCCCGAAGTGCGCGATTCGCTCTGACATCCAACATAGATGAATTTATCACAGGAAGGTCTATGACTGCCTCTCCTGTCTGTATCCTATTGTATTGTATTCAAACTTTAGCGAGTTGTATACAAGCTTTCAGCCAAAAAGTAGACCACCGTTACAATTCTGGTAAAAAAACAGGTGAAAAAGTGGGATGCGAAACGTACAAAAATATGAGTTAATTTATAAATGCATTAGAAAGCTCAGAACGAATATTTTCCTTGTCGGTCAGTATCCGGGCAATATAGGGTACCAAAGAGTTTCCGTATGCGGATATGCGAGACGGGATAAGTTTGTACTTAGAACGGGTAGAGGGGTGGGATTTGCATGCACACAAGTCAATGTGTAGAGGATGGGTGCAATCAAATAGGATATTGCCAATATGGACGTTACACATTGCCAATCGAAACAGACAACGGAACCAATGCCAAGCGGAGCTTCTGATGTATTGGAGTTATATTCACGACTTTATTTCCCCTCGCTGTCATATTGAATTTCCTTTTTAAGTTTGTATTCTCCTTGTTTGATGCTCATCGGCTTCACCAAAGCTACGAAATGCGTGTGCTTTAATTCATTCCCATTATGGGTTTCTTTGCAGGGAATCAATGCCTTTTATCCGTTGTCCTCAATCAAAGACAATCTACTTTGTTTTCACTCATGGGTCTTGCTTGGTTTCATCTCATATCCTATTCAACAATACGATAACGTTCTTTCCTGCACTTTTTGTTTCGAAGTTTGTCTCTCACCAACTGTTTCTTTTTGCCTGTCATATTTTTCTCGCACAAATTGTTAGGTCGGTCACGTCTGTTTCACTGAAAGTGTGCGCACTCTGTGGACCACAGAAGGTGTGCGGTGGTTTGTCAAAGGTCTTTCTGCTCGTTTGATTCAAACCGGGATCTTCTCCTTCTGGCTAGTGATGATCTACGAACCAGTCAAAGTTTTCTGTCTCAAAGACGAATTCCGTGACCAGTTTCGGGTCTCATCTGGCAATTGGTGACCGTTTCCCATCGTGCCATATATGTTTACGTTTGTTTGTGGTTCGGTGATCTCAATCCGCATTGTTTCAGGACCAAAGACACTACACTTCTCAGAGGTAGTTAATTCTAGTGATCTCCTACTGTAATTGTTAAGTGATAACTAAAATACTACTTGGGTCACTTCAAACACCTGTCTTGACCTATTTGTTACCACCCTATTCCTCCCGACTGATTTTTTAAATATTTTCATTCCCCATCTTCCATACACTTTTCTCGCTTTCTGTTCTCTTATCATCTTCACCGGTTCGGACTCTGAGCTCATCTGATAGATTTTTTTATTCGCATCGTGTCATAAATCAGAGAAAACAAACGTGTGAATCTCACCTAGTTTGAACAAATCGCGGGGTGACTCGATATCGTACCGGTTTTTTTACCTTAATTTATTTCACCTCTTCCGTGATTCCCTTCGTACGCTCGTAAGCTCTTTACAAATGAACTGTAGCAGGTCACTTCAGCTATCGCTATTACTGACCACTACCACTTGCTATGTGGAATCAAACCCCTCCCTTTCGTTTTCGTCCCTCGTGTCATTTTTTTGTGATATTACCCCTAGAAATCTATATTTTCTATCTCTGACCGAGACACCCCTCAAAAGAGTGACCCGTTTGTACATACGTTCACACAACACATCTATGCCAAATAGGTAATGTTGATTTCGCAATTATGAGTGAGTACTACTGTCACCAGGACCAATGACATTTCCTGCCAGTTAAGAGCCAATCGCTACCGCTCAAAAGCACAGATGGTCTATGATGCCTCTGCACCACCACAACTACGTACTGACCGCTCTTTTGTACATATTAGATCATTTGGCTACTTAACTTATTGCCATTCGTTTGATCTATTTATTGCTCTAGTATACTGCGCACTAGGCGGAATAATTTCCAAAGTATTGGGTTCCCTTAGTCCATTTTAGCAATGCGGAAAGAAGACATATGTTAACTTTTAATTTAACCTCCTCGGTCGCAGACGTAAAACAAACCGGCCTATGTACAACACATTGGGCCGATCAACCGTATTGAACAATCGTGTATACGCAAACAAAGATCACCCAAATTCGAGATGAAAGGTCAACTCCACGGTCAATCAGTTGAGCATGTTAACAACTTTTGGGCGCATAAAATTGGGTGATGTAATTGGAGAAACAACGCTTCACTAACTGCCGGAGGAAGCACTGCGGTTGCGTAAAAGTGGGTTGAAAGAAGAAAGGGTCATCTGCGTGTTTTGCCATGTGGCGTTTCGCAATAGATGAGCCTTGGTTTCTTGCGGTTGCATATACACGTTCAACACGATTGATCAACCCAGCCTGGTTTAAGTCAACGATTGAGGAGACGAAACGATCTAATAACACCTAGCCATATTGGGGAGAACGATTTTCCGCCATTAGTTGGGCAACGCGCAGTAGTTAGTCACAGCACTGCCAATCGATTGTAATCGATGGAAAATACTGTACTGCACGGTATTCGGCAGCCTAAGCCGTGGTACTCGGACTGACGAAAAAAATTAGGCCCCAACCGAAGAGGTATGACATTGTACCAGGGAATAGAAAAGGGGAGGTAGTCTATCTACCACAACAGTTGGATGACGTCAAGGTTTATATCTTGCACCCTACAGCCGTTTACTCAATAGTGACACACTTCAATCACGCAAACATAACCACATTGTAGTTTTGCGTGTTTTGTTGACCACAGGCCGTCCATGTTTTTCAGGGATTGCTAGTTATGTAAACTGCAGAGGTACCGGCCAGAATCACAAGTGCTGTTACTTCAGACATGCCTTTTCGGGGATTACGTGTAAGTTGTGCATGCGTTGCCCACCAGACTAATTTTAATCGTTGCTATGTTTGAAAAATAGCCATGGATTTGCTTCAGTACGACATGATTTTTTTGAATGTGTAATATGTTTCCTGGAAGGATGAAACTTGTTCTCGAGAGCGCTGCTGATTCTGTTTTGGTCCCCGATTCGAAATCGCTTTCTTCGAACCTGGTTTTGCTACTTTATCCATCTGTGCATTGTCTACCGTTGTCTTACCTTTGATTCATGTTCATTTTCGCGCTACACTTGGGCTGATCCAGCTAGCTTATTGATTAGGTCGACTGTTTCCCTCGCAACTAAGATCCGATAAAGCGTATTGACTTATTTTCTCTCCCTCACATAAACCGGAGTTCACCGAGACCATGAGTCCTTCATCCTTGATTTCTGATTGTTTGTTCTTTTAACCTGACTCTCATGTACACATTCGCTCTACGTCCGTGCGAGTATTCGTATGTATGTTGAAGTGACCGCTCTCGACACTGCTCCATCTTGTCACTTGATATTCTGACCTATTTTGTTGTTTGTTTTGTTTGGCCACTCCCTTGACATTGTCATGTGTTATTGCATCCTCTTTGGCATGTTTACATTTGTTTTCTCGATGGACACATCTTAACGAATTGCCTTTGGCGATGTGCTCTTACACATCCAGATACTTCACAAATCGAGGTTTGTATTTACCTTGTGTTTATTACTAGTACCATTTTGCCAGACAGTTTTGAATTGTCGTCATTTCGGACTCAGGACTACGCGCGTCACTCGGTCCCTCTGTCTGATTGCGTGCTGAAATCTACAGTTCCTAAACCCTGGAATTCTGATGAATCCTATCCTTGCTATAAATTACCTCGCGGACACGGGCTAAAGGGTCCTATACCAAAGTGGTGGTGTTCGTCGACGTCGTATTTTACTGGGTTAGGTGANGGTGATTGGAGTGTAGTGGCCTGAGTTTTAAAATTCACCTTCACCATCCGAATCACGCGGTTAATATTCCCACGTTAGGGTGGATCAATATCATTTGCTTTTGCGCATCTATCCACCCACCTGCGTGAGAATAAGTTCGCTTAGCGGATGTTACTGATAGCGGTTACTCGTGTACAGTGGTTAATTTGGTGCATAGTGAAATTCACTCCCGATCGCAAATTCAGATCCAGTCGGTCCGGTTTTTCAGTTTGCTACCGGGACATTGGTGTGACCCCGAACGTGGTGTTTGCTGCCGAACTACCGGAGACGACGGTGTGGCAGTAGTCTTTCGATGGAAGAGCAGTTCCGACGGATTTCCTTTTTAGAAAGTCACTCTTTCCAGTTTATCATTATAATGTAGCGCAGACACTAGTTGCGTAATGCAAACCTATTCGTTTGTCCAAGCTGAACTAGAACGTCAAAATACGGTATTCCGTATTTGATATTTGAACTCACAAAAGTCAGTTCATGGGATCGGCTATCCACAAGAGGCCGGTGCTTAGCCTACTGGGATCTATGTCCTTCCGATCGATTCGGCACACTGGCACAAGCCAAATAGCACTCAGTTGCCCATGTCGGCGTTGACCGGGTTTTTTCATCGGAGATTTTCAATTTTAGTTTCACCTAATTTCATGCCACTGTAAGTTGTATGGGTAAATTCGAATGTGAAAAGATCAGTGCTATCGGTGTGGCCTCGTAGCTCAGCTGGTAGAGCATGCGCCTACAATGCGTAGGCGGCGTCCATGTGTGGGTTCGAATCCCACCGAGGCTACTGAACTTTTCACAATCGACGTACTACTTTCATTTAAACTGATTTATGCTCTCGTTCCTGGCAGACCATCAGCTTAGATATGAGAGTTTCGTCCCTTCGCTTAACATCTGAAAGTATTGGGGTTAGTTTTCAATAACAACTAAATAGATGGGGTATGATGACATTGAGTAAACCCAATCGTATTTCTTTTCTCAATTCGGTAAAAGTTGCAACAGTTTGGGTGTGATCAACAGAAGCGATCCTCGTGAAGTAAATATGAATCAAGATGCTTACATTTGTGACAAAAAGATTTCCCAGAACTGTTTTGGTCTATACCTTTTCAACTTCAAGTGAATCCGTTGTAACTTCAAGTGAATCCGCCGTAA